GCCCTCCTCCAACCGGTGAACAATCCGCTACGCAAACGACGGCCCGACACCTAGGGACGACTCGTCTAAAGGAAAGAAACCCAGCCCGAAAGAATAACCTAAAAACTCCTGCAAGAGGCTAGCTGGACCCGTCTTCTGACCAAACTCCTTGCCCAAACGGGCCCATCCCAACACAACAACCAGAGCATCGCCCCTAATCCCACAGACCCAAGCCAACCACGACCCAATAGCACCTCACGTTGACCAATCCTAAAAAAAAAACAGAACCTACACATGGGATAACGGAGAAGAGGGGAAAAGGGGTGATACCAAACCCCGACCAGCTCACCGGAGAAGCCGAAGCCAGCCGAACTCCCACGACTCGAGAGCTGCCGAGCCCTCCCCCTGCTCATAGACAACCGACGGAGCTCGAATCTCTACAACGAGCTCGGTCCGATCGGCGCTCAAGCGCCTCTGAAGGCCCAGAGAAGGAGGAGGCGACAAAAATTAGGATTTGGAAAGGAAATGGGCTTTTTTGTTTTTCGGGGAACGAAGGTGGAGAGAATAGTTTTTTTTCTGTGTTGTGCATTTGACGACTATGCCTGTTCATTTATTATTATCCTATATGTGTTTATGCTGAATCGATGCATAATTTGAATTTTACCACTGAGCCTAGAGGATGTGTTCACCCCATTGTTTTTCAGATTAAGCAGCTGACGACAATAGCGATAGGACAAACGTTGTCGTCATTAAATAATGTTTTATGTTTCTGTAAGCTATTTATGAAAACCATTGTGGTTAAAATGTTTTAGACTTTGAATTATTTCGAACTATTTTTGGTTAATCGAAGTTGTGTTTGTTGGACGTTTTGGCTATATTTCGAAATGTTGATAGAAAAGAGGTTTTGAGTGGTGCTCATAGAGTAGTTTTTGAAAAATGATTTTTAAATGTTCTAAATATTTTCGAAAGATCCAGTTTCTTAAAATAAATAAGCGGTTGTTACATAGGCCCAAACAACCTCGGCCGCCGAGCCCACCTAGGCGCCTGACCGATTATTTTTTTTCAGCCAATTAATGCAAATTGGAGGCGGTCGGGCGTCACCTAGTGCCTAGGCCATTGTTTAGTACAATGATTAAAAGTTACCCAAAAAATTAGGTTCCATATTGTTATTGTAATTATTTTTATTTCAATCATTTTCAATAGCATTATGTAATTTGTATTCCTATTGTTTGAATTTATAAATTAGTCTTGTGTTGCTGCACATAAACATATTTTTATTGTTCAAGCAACATGAGTTTATGTAATAATATATATATATCTATATGTGTGTGTGTTTATATAAAAATTATTTTGAAAAAAAAAATAAAAAGTAATAAATTTTGCGTAGAATTAAGTATTAAGCAAACACTGGAGATGAAACTCGATATTTAGTAGAGTGGAGCTGAAAATGACCTAAATTATAGTAATAGATAAAATTATTTATGCTAGAGAAATAACAACTAGGACTGTTAAACGTGACGAGATGCACTTTAGCTCGACTCAATTCATTGAAAGTTTGTATAGTTAACAAGTCGGCTTAGCTCAACTCAGCTCAGTTCAGCTCAAGACTCATAAAGGCTAAAAAATAATTTTTTTATAATTTAGTTCATTTTAACTTAAATTAACTTGTTAAGTGTGACCGATAATAATAGTAAAGGAGCCGACTTTGATTAGTGACTCATTCTAGGTAATGAGCCCGTATCAAATTGAACGGAAAGAAGAGTAGAAGACAAAAGGGGAGGGCATTTTAGTACTTAGAAGATTTAGTTCTGCTCCTAGTGGCCAAGTCTTTATCACCAAGATATGCGAAAGCGACTTTGAATTGTTTACTCTGTATAAAAATAATTGGCTTAAGATACAAATATACAATGTAATAAAATATTTCATATGGCATAAAACCACTTTCTTTTTCCTTTTTGTTGGGTTAAATAAATAAAAGAAAAATAACCAAAGGACTCTATACATATTTTCTATAACCGTTACATTTTTTAAAATATGTATTCATGCAAAAAAATTTATGATTTTATTTGTGTTATTTTTTAATTATGATATTTTAAATTTAATAAATATATATATATATTAAATGTATGAATAACTAACCATTAGAATTAACTAATTTCTAAAACTATTGCTTACTCGATAGTTTTACTTGAATAAAATGTTATTATAGTTGTTAAACGAAAGCGTTGCCTGTGAATTTGTGTCGTTTGATAATGAGTCGAGCTCTTGCTCATTTAGTTAACGAACAAGGTTCAAATTCGAACTCGACTCGTTTATGACACCAAGGGTTAGTCTAGTCGATTTAATTCTATAATTGACTTAAATAAAATGTTTAACATTTTAAGGTTTGTTTAGTCGATTTAATTATCAACTGACTAGAACCATCTTAATTAATACCAATTTTCAAAGAAATTTATTCCATAACTATTCATCTATTCTATGGAGAGATGAGAATAAAAGAGGCCCAACATTAAAACAGAAATGCAGAGAGAGAGAGAGAGAGAGAGAGAGAGAGTGTGATGTGTTGCTTGCTATTTTATATTGGTCAAGAAGGGGACAAGAGCGTATCTGAGGAAATCCTGAAATTCGAACAGTTTGCTTTAAAAAGTAGTAATAAACTATATACCCATATATCCCATCACCTCACTTATCTAACTTTTGTATATAATAATATCATTAAAGCGAAGCCCAGAACGTGACCCCAGTAGAAAAAACTGCACGGCGACGATTATAAATCCATTGTACCCCCAACTGGGTTTGTGTTTTTTTTTTCTTTCCTCTACTTTTTAATTTAATATTGTACTTTTTCTTAAAAACAAAAATTAATTATTATTTTTTTTGGTAGCCAGCCACACGGTATCCGAAGCTATGTCCTGATTAATCCGTTGGTCGACCTGGCAGTGGTGGGTGAATCTCCTAACAAAAGTTTTTTTTGCATCTACAAGGACTCCGACTCCAGACTTTTTTTTTTTTTT